AAATTAATAGAAATATTCTGGTGAACGAATAAATGGAGGAATAAATGGATCAGAAAAAATCCTCTATGTAGCTTAATAGGGGTGTCGAAAACACAGATTGTGTCCATCCAAACTTCTCATAACACGGGATACTTGGACTTCCTGCTTGGACGGAAAAATACCAGCCTACATAATATTTCTTGACTTTGCGAAAGCCTTCGACACGAAGATAGACTCTAGTATTTGGGAATTATAGGTGATCTGATTATGGCATACGATATTTTAAGCACGCCAATTTATATCAACATGTTCATCTTGCCGATGCGTCACCATACCCCACGTGGTAATCCTCGAAAAATTGTGCACCAAAGAGCGAATACTCGTGTTTTTGCACACTCTTTCTCAATAAGAGTCGTTACTACCTGAAATTCTCTCCCAGACGAGGTGCCTACAGACCCCCCAGCGAACAGCTTTCAGAAGAGTCTTGATAATCACGTTCTCACATACTGATTATCATGTCCCTCGTGGACAATCTGTGCCTGATGCATGTCTTGAGACCTGCTAGTTGTTGTTATCGCCATCTCCTCAGATCAATAAATTAATCCATATCGCTTGTTATCTCTGTTCCCTCTCCCTTGCTTACACTTCGGCCCTCTCTCACAATCTTCACTATCAATTAATAAACAAAGTTATCCATATATTTACGTAGTTCTGAAATCCTCTTCTTATCAGTATTAGAATCTTCTCCTTATTATTCCCAACATTGCATGTCACTGATTTTCGGCTTGGAAACATAATATCTGTTGGTATACGGGAATCCTATTGATCTGAAACAAGCGTTTTCATTCAAAATACGGGACATACTAACTCAAAAACAACTGCCATCCGACTAGAAAAGGTGTAGTCGAGTGGCTAGAACCCCACCCATCGGAAACCGACAAACACTTGAAGCCGTACCTAATGAACAAGAATACATAGCAAAGAAATCAGTTGGTTTTTACCAGCTCATGAAAAATGATTAGATATTGGATATTGAGTAAGGAAGACCGGTAGTTTTGACTATTTTGTTACTTTTACAACTCGTGTTTCGAAGCGTGAAGCTATTCTAAGTTCATTTGTCAGAGTTTTATGTAAGTTATATAAGTATTTGTAAATCAATCAGTTGACAGTGATTCTTTCATGAAAGTAACGAATTTTTATTTAGATTCATACAGTTACTACGCGTTGCATGATAGTAGAACGTTTTTTAAGCACTCATCGTACAGCAGTTTTTGATGACTCGTCGATAACTTGGTCTTGTCATACGCTTAACACTCAAATGTAGCACCATTCCTTGCCCCACTTGGAACGGCCGGTTAAATGTAATATTCGTAAGCTGTGTATAATAGCTGAAGTACATTCTCTTCAAAAGATTTTATTCTTCCTTGCTTGAAAATTAAATAGCATCATGTATGAGAGGTGCTGTCGACGCGTGTCTCATATCTTAGAGACCTTTTCAATTCCATCTGACACTAATTGTACATTGTGAGATAAAAGTTTCATGTATAGTGTTATACAGCACCTGTATTGCCAATACCAGCATCTTTCTGTGATCACTTGTCAATAGCATAAAATAACATGGATAACTATCAAACAACAGCCCAAAATAAACAGTTAAGTGCATACATAACCAGTCCTATATATATTACCATAGATTCAGTATGACTTATTCATTTACACAGGTATCTCAACTCAGTAACCAACAATGTATTAACGTACATATTTGTGTAAGGTTTTGCAGCTGTACGCAACTACCTAATTTGACTTATGCAGAAAAGAATATAATCCCGTGACTATGTTCTACAACCACTAATCTACCGGCTTTTGAGGGTAGCTAATGCCTTAACGTGGTGGTCGGGCTTCCCTATCATGATGACTCAACCAAGCTTTATTGGCTTGAACACACCTACCGACTCCCAACCATAATTGCGTTTTTTGAACTTAAACTAGCGTTTGAATCTGTTGATGGTGAGGTTCTATGGCCGATCACATAGTTCTACTTAGTGAAGACGCTGAC